GCCACCACTGTCATCACAATCGTCGTCGTCATCATCATCATCACCATCATCATCGCCATCACCACCACAACCATCATCATTACGATCATCAGCACCACCATCACCATTATTATCATCATCCCGCATCATCGTCCTGATCATCAGCATCATTATCAAAGGCATCATCACCATCGTCGTCGTTGTCATCGTCAGCATCGTCATGATCGTCATCATCATCCACAAAGGCATCATCATCAGCATCACCATGACCATCTGCACCACCAGCATCATCAATATCATCATCGTCATCAGCGGCAACAGCATCCATATCATCATCACCGTAGCATCATCGCCCTCCTCGCCCTCCTCTTTCTCAGCAGCATACCAACCATTGCCTCCATCAACCTCATTATCAGTCAGTGTCCTCCTCCTCATCATCACGATCTTCCTCATCATCATCACCGCCACCCTGGCCACCATCATATTCAGCTGCTTGTACTCCGAGATTCTGTTTACTGAGCAACAAACGACAAACCGCACACGCAGGGTGTCACTTGACCGCTGCACGAGATGCTCGAAGCTGTGAAACACACGAGCATCGAGACTGACTTCCAGCGCACAGATCGCTGAGCCCGCGGAGAGGAGGAGGAGGGGAGGTGGAGGAGTCCAGAGAGCCTACGGAAAATGAAGTGCCGCGGGAACCTGCGAAAAAACTACACCTTTTGACTGAAATTGGTCACTTTTTCCGGCGTGCGAAAAACGACCCCTTCAGTCTGAAATGGGTCACTTTCTCCGGCGGCCTACATTCAAGAGGCTCTCTGCGCCCCAGCTGCAAGGCGAGCCCGCTCTATTAACCGCATGCCGATGATAATAAAGGGACCCCCCCCCCCCTTCAGTGTTTAGAGTTGATTATCGTCGCCCTATACCAAATTCAAATTGGGCGGCGAGCGCCGAGGCCGAACTTCATTATCACCTCGAAACGCTATGTTGAGATAGCAACATCAAGCGATGTTGATATAGCAACATCAGGCGAAGCGATCACACTTCTTCAGGATGTGTCAAGCGAAACCAATGCATGTATGCATCCCCGCGCGCGCCTGAACTTTTTTTATCTCTGGGGTTGATTATCCATGGAAAGGGGAGCACATGAGCTACCCTACATGAGCACTTAAAAAAATCAATGTTCATAAAGCGTTTGTAAATTAAAACTGATAGATTTGGAACTTTCCATGTTTCCGTTCTTCTTCTCTTCTTAGTATTCTCTTCTTCTTCTCTTCATATTATTTTTCTATGTTCCTCTTCTTCTTTTATATCTCTATCTGTCCTCACGCTCGCCTGAACTTGTTTTATCTCTGGGGTTGATTATCCATGGAAATTGAGGCACATGAGCTACCCTACACGAGCACTTACAAAAAACAATGTTCATAAAGCGTTTGTAAAATCTAATAGATTTGAAACTCGAGAGTTTCACAAAACGTGCTCGGCTTGGTCTCCTCTTGATCATCTCTTACTTCGAGATTATGCTGAGGTCTGCTGGGCTACTTTTTATTATCTCTCCCTGAACCCCGAACTTTATTATCCCCTAGTGTTTATTCTCACGGGCATGAGGTTAGCTGTTTCTACTCCGAGATTCTGTGCACTGAACAACCAACGATGAACCGCGCACGCAGGGTGTCATTTGACCGCTGCACGAGACGCTCGAAACTGTGAGACACACGAGCATCGAGACTGACTTCCGAATTAGGGGACCTGTCCAAGCACAACACTTTACCACATTTAGCGGACTCTTCTAGACATGTGACGATGTCACACTCATTGGAAACTGCATGGCTAAGCCGGCATCCTGAAAAAGGCCGCAGAGCTCCTTCACGAGAGATGGAGGATAGGGGTTGGCGCGCCTTGTCCAGTGGACGCCGCTGGCGTCGCGGCCCTGAAGCACATGATGAGGTTCACCTGCGAACGAGAAGCATCTGCCCCGCCCCGTGCACTTTTTGTGGGGCCGGTCAGGGTCTGGTAGGAGATACGCACGGAATCGAGTCGGCTTTTTCCAAGCAGTACCCCAGCCGCAGTAGTGTGTGATAACGTCGGCAACGTGCGGCGCGGCCAAGATGCGCTTCGCGCCCGGCATGTGCCACGCGTAGCTGATCTGCGGGTTCCCCCACAAGAATGGGACACGATAGTCTGCACTGGTCAAATTAGGGCGCAGACAAACCTACCTCGCTTTTAACCGCCCTCGCTTCCAAGAGATACCAAGCGACGCCAAACTACGGCCTGCGCTGGTCAGGCCGCTCGACAAGGAGGCGCGTGGCATGACTTGGTTTTGCCTGGAAGCGAAAGCGGGGTAGGTAGTTCACGCTCTGACAAATATCCGAACAGCGTTGTAGAACAGCCCGCTCCCTCCTTCAACTTGGGACTGCAAGCGGGACGGCAATCCAGGAAGGCCAGCAGGAAAGTCTTTAGATCGGATGGCGTTGTGACCACCACGAGCTATCGAGAAGGTCGCGCACGGCACCCCCGCCAGGACGCCCAGGCAGTGGCCCGAGCGGACGAGCTTCAGGGCGCGTCGCATCACCGCCGGCCTGAGGAGGTCGCCCTCCGGCCCCTGCAAGATGTCAAAGGAGAAGACCTTGCAGCAGCGGCGGCGCACCCCTTTGCTCCAGACCTCGGAGCCCGAGAACAGCTCTATGTAGAACGGCTGGTATTCCCAGAGCGGGCCCGCCTCCTTGCGTCGGCGCTGCCGCAGAAGTACCCCACGAGCCTGGCGGCAAACGCGGCCATGGCCGACTCACAATGCCGGCGCTGGCGCTCGCTGAGGTTGTTCCACACTTCCTGCAGCAGCCCTCGCTTCTCGCATCGGCGAACGCTGCTCAGCGTCCGCCAGCGCCCCCTCTTGCCGACCTCGTCGAGCGTCAACCTGCCCTCCTGCCGGTCGACGCTGGCCCCCGAGTGCCGGGCCATGTGCAGGACGGGCGCGAGAGGGGCGAGTCCGACTTTCACGGCGGCGCGGTCGAACGGGTCTTTCATCTGCGACAGCTTCAACGGCCACAGGAGCTGCCCCTGCCGTCGAATGGCCAGAGCCATCAGGCAGGTGCCGATCCAGCGCCGGGAGATCGTCACGGCCTCGTCCATCTCGCCCGTCTTCGAGGCTCTCGGCGCGTAGTCGAAGTCGATGTGCACCACCACCTCCGCGAGGATGCCGCAAGGGCCCAAGATCTGCGCTGACATGAGCCTCAGCGCCTCGCCTGGCCGCAGATAGGTGTCGACCATCATGATCCACGCCAGCGCTGCCTCGGGGCCGTAGGGGGGGCCGCCCGTCGTCGCCGCGGCCATGATCTGCATCGCCACGGCGCAGCGGACCGCCCAGGGCAGGGGCCGGCGCGTCTTCGCGGGCGCCAGTCTCCTCCAGCCGCGCAGGGCGCGGCCCGCCCGCGGCAGCGGCAGCCGGCCTCGGACATGGTAGTCTGGGAGGAACATCATGAGCGCCGCGATGAGCTTCTCGCCCGAGGAGGGCGCCTTGCCCCCCAGGAAAGAAGTGGTCGAAGAACTGCGCGATGCGCGCGTCGAGCAGGTGAGCCGGCATAATGAGGCAGGTGAGGCCACAGACAATCATGAAGGCAGAGAGTAACCGATTGTAGCTGGCGTTTGGACGCCCGAAATGGGCACTGAAACAATGGGCACAATGCCCAACAACAACTGTTGTCCCAAACCAACAGCGGCCACTGTTGGGCAGGCGGCCTTCTGTCTCGAATGGACACGGGCCGCGGCGGCGCGGACAGCGAGTCCGGTTCAAAATGAACAGGAAAGCCGTTGAGCATTGCACCCATTCTTTCCGGGCCCATCTCGTTCGTGCAGATGGTGAAGGTCCGCTGCTGCACGGACGCCTGCTCGGTGATGCCCAGCTGCTGCGCGGCGACGCGCGGGGGCGCATGGTTCGCCCGCCGCGCGTAGGCCCGCCGCCTCTCGTTCACGTCGAGCGACCCCGCCCCGGGCTCCCCGGCGGCGTGCGCGCCGAAGGTGGCCACCTCCAGCTGCGTCGCCCGCTCGACCGCGGTCAGCAGCAGCGCTCCCGGCGCGCCCGAGCTGCGGGCGGGCTGCAGGCCCAGCCGGCGCGGGCCGCGAGGCGGCCGCGCCGGCCGCGGTGGCGCTAGTGGCGTCGCAGGCGCCCAGCTGGCGCCCAGCCCCGCCAAGGGCCGAGCCCCCCCCCGCTGCGGGACAGCCGGCAGCGACGGCACCGGGCCCACGGCCCGCAGGGGCGCGGGCGGCCGGCCTCGAAGCAGGCTGGTCGAGGCCCGGCGGGGAGAGCGCGATCGGCAGCGGGCGGCCCCCCCCGCGGAGCCAGCAGCGGCTGAGCTCATCAGCTGGATTCAGCTCAGAGGGAAGCCATCGGTGGTAGACGACTGCGCCGGCCAGAAGTAAGAGAGCTGACCAGCGACGCATAACATTGGAAAGCCGAGCGCCTCAAGCCCGGCCCTTGGAAGAGGCGAGCGTCAGCCCCAAGTTGTCGCCCAGCAGGAGGGCCCGTTTACCCCAGCGTCGAGGAACGGAGAGGTGGACTCGGATCGCTTCGGCCACTCCTCGAGCCTCTTTGCGGCGCATGGCCTCGGGGCCCCCCATGGCCCTGCGGCGATGGAAAACCCATTTGGCCAAATGGCGGCCCTCGCGTGCTGGGGGGGGCCTCGGGGGAGCTCGGATCCACGTCGCCAGCGTTGCGCATGTCGTCGATCGATCGCATGCCCCCGCCCTCGCCCTCCAGCTCCTCCGTGCCATTCGCCCAAGCCCCGTGGTCAGCGCGAGTGCGCCGGCGCCGCCACCTCTCCTGCCACCTCCCCGCGCGCTCGACGAAGTCGATCGGCATATCGGCGATGACAGACGCGCGACCGGTCTCGCACGCGTCGGTGGCGATCACTGTTTGGGACCACTCGGCGCCCAGACGACGCGAGAGGAGGATGAGAATGCCCTGGGAGATTTTCAGCTCTCGGCCCACAGAGCCCCAGAGCGGCCCCACACGACAAAACGTGCACGGATGAAAGCGCACACCGAGCAGAAACCAGCAAGCGCCTCGCGCCGGACCAGCGCGCAGAAGGAACAATGCACGATGAGATGCTTGATCTCGCTGCTGGTAGCTCGGCGCCTCGCGTCGACCAGGCACTGGATGCCGTAGAATAGCCTCCAGAACCACTTCTCGGTGAGCTGCGCCGTCGGCGGCAAGCCCGTCAGCCTGACGTCGAGCATGTCCATGTCCTGGGTGGCGCCCTCCTCGCAGTGCACAGCAAGGCCCTGGGAGGTGAAGGCGGCGGAGGCCTCGCGCCTGCGCTCGGTGACGTCCGAGGCGCGGGTGCCCACCAGCAGCACGTTGTCGACGTACGGGGAGCGAGCTGGCCCGTCTTGGACTGACGGGCGCGGCCCGAAGTCGACAGCCCGCCAGCAGGACGAGAACGAGGGGTGCACATCCAGCGCGTACTCGTGGGCGCGCTGCACCATGTAGAGCCCCCATGACCAGCCCATCGGCACCACGGCCATCTGCGGGCACACGAAGTCCCACGGGTCGACGGGTCGCCCCAGGACATGCGTCACGCCCACGGCGCCTGCGCGGACCCGCGACAGGCAGGAATAATCGCAGAGGTAGGCGGGGAGGCGATGCTGGTAGAAAGCGCTCTTGACGTCCAGACCGCCGAACCAGGCTGACTCGCCCGCGTCCACCTCGAAGTCGCCGAAGCTGGCCCCGCTGAACAGCGCGGCCGGGTCTGGTCTGGTCAACCTCTGATTCGAGCGGGGGCAGTCGAGCGCGAGCCGCAAGCCGCCGTCCTTGTTGGCGACGAAGAAGACAGTCACGTCCTCGCGTCGGCGTCGGCCCACGCGGAAGCACTCTCGGGCCAATCCATCGCGCGCGAACTCGTGAGATGCGTTCGCGTGGTTGTTCGGACCGGGGTCCATGTAGACTAGAGGCCGCTGCTCGGCCTTGATCACCTCCTCAAACACGGACTGCGGCAACACGAGCGACTGGTCCCGAGAGGTCAACCTGTCGACTAGCAAACCGGGTCGATTGCCAACGTCAGGCCATGAAACCATGTGTCGCACATAGGATCGTAGCGGCGTGACCTCCCCGGCATATCCAAGGAGGGGTTGTCCCAGCAGCACCCCATAAGCCGTCCGAGACGACGCTGAGCAAGGCGGGCGGCGTTCATCGTGGAGCCGTAACACACGCTCGCACAGCGCCCGGCGCCAGGAGGATGTGTCCGAGGTGCCGAGCTCGACGGACGGGTAGCCGGCCATGAAGTTGAGTGCCTCGATCGTCTCCCTGGCCCTCTTCAAAACGCATGCAGAAGATCCAACGCGGCCAGAAAAGTCAAGCCGGGGTCGCAGGAGAACTCGATAGGGAAAGCGCCATCGCCGACGCGAGGGGCAGCCGCAAGATGAATTCGTTGGCTCTCTGGACCGGGCACACGCTCGCCACGCGTGGCCCCCGCCAAGCCCACCCCTGTGGCGAGCCGTCCTTGTCCTTCTCCTTGTGCTTGTCCTTGATCTTGTCCTTGTTCTTGTTGTTGTTGTTGCTGTTACTGCCGCCGCCGCGCTTGGCCGCCTGCTCCTCGCGGAACTTGCGGCGCTGCTTGGCGATCTCCACTTCCTTGGCCAGCAGGTCGGTGGCGTGGCGCGCCAGGGCAGGAGCCATGGCAATGCCGCGCCGCGTGGCGCCGCCCTGGTCGCGGCCGACGTAGTACTCCAAGCCCTCGGTGCGCATGGATCCCTTGGTCTCCTCAACTAGCTGGTAGCATCGAGCCGCAACCTCCATGCACGCCAAGTTGGATCCGTCCACCTGGTCATACACCACACTCAAAAACATCGACAAGCCCAAAAGGTCGTCGTGAAGATGGCCGGCGGTGCTGTCGGCCGGCAGCGCCTCCTCGGTGAGGTACTTGGTGTGCCTCCCGTCGGGCGTCCCGCCGTGCTCACTGATGTAGCGCTGCAGCCACAAGATCGAGCGCTCCCCCTTCAGCGGAAACGCATCCAGGGCCTCCTCGCGCAGCTCCAGGGTGCCCGCGCGGTAGTCCAGGTGCCGACCGCCGTGAGAGTCGCAGCGAAGGGGCCCCAGCGTTCTCGCGTCCCCAAGGCCCGTGTCGTCGTGGAGCGGCTCCACGGGAAGGTCGGTCAACCTCACCGCGATGCGCTTCCCACTCGGCAGAACGTCGATGGCGCGATCGTCGTCGATCAGGGCGGTCTCGTGCAGCGTCACCTCGTCGTCGCGCGCGATCTGGCCCGGCACGGTCTCGAGGCTGACCCGACACGGCCAGCCTCTGGCACGTGACGCGCCGGCGGGGTGGCACTCCCCGTCACGCGCTGGCCAGGAGCAGCCCCAGCGAGCGCCCCGGCCGCATCGGCAGCATCGACGGCCGCCTCGGAGGCGGCCGCAGGCGGCGCGGGCGGAAGGGGTACCACGTCGCCGAGCGGCATCTCCTGCCCCTCACGTTGGAGGTACATCAGGCTGGCCGGGGCAGAGACCTCAATGCCCGCGGCCGAGGTCTATTCCATGGCCTCCACGATCATGCCCCTGAGATCTTCGTCGGTGGGGAAGAGCTGGAACGCATAGAGCGTCCCGCCTGGATGACCGGGTTCCCGCCCGTGTTGTCCAAGATGGCGAAGCGAGAGCCCCAGCCCAAACCAGAAGCCATGCCCTCCGCGTACACGTCGCTGTCGGGCGTCACCACGTACCAGTGCCGAGGGACGGCATCACCCGACGCGGGCCACAGCAAGACGCGCTCGTGCCAGAAGCCGGGGTCGGACGGGTAGTACACGCCCACGTGCAGGCCCGGCGTCAACCTACCGCACCACTCCACCGCCACGACGGGCTGGCCGTCCTGGCTGACGTACCGCCCCCAGCCTCCGCCCAGGTTCACCAGTGCTGCTGCCATCGCGTCGACGACACGGGCACGGAAAGGTACGGCGCAGCAGGGGGAACCGGTCTTCACGACGTCCAGCAATCAGCTGCCCAGCAGCGCCGCGAGCCCAGCCGAGAGCGCCGCCCACGGGCTCGCCGGCGGCTCGGGGCCCGGCGGCAGCGGCGGCGCGGAAGCCCCGCCGCGCGACTGAAGTAAGCAGGCTGAGCTCCAGGACGCGCGCCTCCAGCGAGTCGAGGTGGGCAGCCGCCTCCTCGAACGAGGCGCCTGCCACCCCCGAGGCGGCCTCCGCCCGCTCCGCCGAAACGGCGGCCTCCGAAGCGGCCCCCGCGGCCGCGGCATCAGCCTCGGCCGTCTCGGCGGAGAGGTTCGGCTCAGGCACAGGAGCCGATCGCAGACCAATCCAGAAGAGGTTGCTTGTGAGCGCGCACAGAGCTGAAAGCAACGCGACCTGGGGGCCGGGCTGCATATGCTTGAGCCCAGAGAGCCTACGGAAAATGAAGTGCCGCGGGAACCTGCGAAAAACGACCCCTTTTGGCTGAAATGGGTCACTTTCTCCGGCGTACGAAAAACGACCCCTTTAGGCTGAAATGGGTCACTTTCTCCGGCGGCCTACATTCAAGAGACTCTCTCTGCCCCAGCTGCAAACCGAGCCCGCTCTATTATCATCACCACCACCATCATCAGAATCATCGTCAACATAATCATGATCCTCATCCTCAGCCTCATTATCATCGTCGCCTCCACCACCATCACCACCACTACCATCATCATCACCATCACCATTATCACAGCTTATCACAATCCTCATCATCAACATCACCACCATCACCATCACTACCATCATCGTCATCATCCTCATCATCAGCAGCATCATCATCGGCATCATCATCATCATCATCATCATCATCATCATCATCATCATCATCATCATCATCATCGTCATCATCACCACCATTATCACAACCATTAGCATCATGATATGTACCATCGTCATCGTCTTCACCACCGTCATCATCATCATCATCATCATCATCATCATCATCATCATCATCATGATCATCATGATCATCATCATCATCATCATCATCAACATCGTCACCATCATCATCGTCATCATAATCACAACCACCAGCACCACCACCACCACCACTATCCTCATCCTCATCGTCATCCTCATCCTCATCATCATCGTCATCCTCATCGTCATCATCATCATCATCATCAGAATCGTCATCATCATCATCATCATCATCATCATCATCATCGTCATCACCATTATCATGAAAACCACTATCATCAGCGTCATCATCCTCATCATCGTCAGCACCACCACCACCTCCATCACCACCCCCACCCCCACCATCATCATCATCATCATCACCATCATCGTCCTGATTATGTTCACCATCATCATCGTCATCGTCATTAGTATCATCGCAAGCATCGTCAGCAGCAGCATCCTCATCGTCATTATTATCATCATCATCATCAGCATCATCATCAACAGCAACAACATCAGCATCATCATCATCATCATAATCATCATAATCATCATCATCATCAGCATCATCATCATAATCATAATCATCATCATCATCATCATCATCATCATCATCATCATCATCATCATCATCAGCGTCATCATCATCATCGTCATCGTCATCATCATCATCATCATCATCACCACCATCATCAGCCTCATCATCAGCATCATAATCCTGCGCCTGTTCCTCGTCCTCCCTTCCCTCCTGTTCCCATTCCTCAGCTCCTCCTCCGAAATGGTAGCTGGCTGGCGGCCTTTGCCTCCGCAGGGTGGGCCCGCAGCGCAGCCACCGACACCTTCGGGGTCTGGGCTGTGGGGCGCCGGGTGTCTGGTGCCCCCCTGCGGGTGCCCCCTCGTCCAGCGTGGCAGACTGGGAAGAGAAGAGAAAGGAAGGGTGGAGGGAGAGCGGGGTGCGGGAAAGGGAGGCAGGCCAGGAGGAACGTGGAAGAAGGAAAGAGACCAGGCGGGACAGGCCAGGAGGGGTGGAGGAAGGCTGGGGAGCAGGCGGAAGGGAGAGGAGGCTAAGGGAGCGGGTGGAGCGAGGGGGCCTCTCCCTCTCCCTCTCTCTCTCTCTCTCTTTGTCTCTCTCTCTCTCTCTCTCTTTCTGCGCGGAGCCTTCTTGGATCCTCTTGTGGCCACTTGGGCTCATCTTAGGGCGGCTTTGGAACTCTCTTGGGAAGCAGTCCGGGCGCTCCTTCTAATCCCTGTGGCGTCCAAGCTCGCCCTTAGGCGCTCCAAGAGGCACCAGAAAGAGCCTTCCGCGGGGATCTGGGTCCGTCTTGGAGGAACCTTGGCAGCCTGCAGGGGCGTCTTGGGGCTCTTGGGAGCTTGGGGGGGCCTTCGGGGTCCTCTCGGATGTATTTGAAATAATTGAGGGGATGTCCTAAGCCGAGAAACCGCGGACTGCCTGATAACGCTGAAACCCCATTGGGCTTGTATGACTTTCCTCTTCGAAGCTCTGCGCAGAATTATCTTGGAGCCTCCTGTGGCCTCCGTGGGCCAGCTTAAAGCCATCTTGGATGTTAAGTCCTCTTGACGTTCCTTGGAGCCTCTTGTGGCGTCCAGGCTCGCCCAGAGGCACTCCGAGGGCCGCTGGAAAGACGGAAGTCCCCAGGCCGAGAATCTCAAACGGTGCAAGCTGATGCACCAGCCCCAGGCTCACCCCCAGCAGAGGACGTCAGTTGATCCAAATCCCACCAGCCCTGTGGGCGTAGGTGGTTTCATGAGTTTTGTGATTTCTCTCTCAAAATCCTTCCCTCCCCTGCTGGGAGGAGGGGTTGATCACTGCTTCCTATTAATAAACACCCCCTCCCCCAGGCGACTGGTAGCCAACCAGGAACCATGAGGGCCCCCCCCACCATCCCTTGTAAGAAGCAATACAAAACACACTCTGCCTCCAAATTCGGAGCATGCGCAGCCAACCCGATGCGGCCTCACCTCACAATCCCTGTCAAAAAAACAATACAGAGTACACTTGCCGGCGGCGGCGGCGGCTGCGGCGGCTGCGGCGACAGCGGCGGCGGCTGCGGCGGCGGCGGAGGCGGCGGCGGCGGGCGGCGCGGCGGCGACGGCGGCGGCGGCGGCGGCGGCGGCGGCTGCGGCGGCGGCGGCGGTGGCGGCGGCGGCGGTGGTCTCGGGCGCGGCGGCGGCGGCGGCGGATTGGCCCCCAGTAGTTGCCCATCCAAAGACAACTGCTGAATATGCTGAGGCTCGGGCCAGACTCGGGTGCTACGTATGTGTTGGGAGGGCGAGTGGGAGTGAGCGAGACGGCTTGCGGGCGGGGCGGGAGTCTTGACCCCTCCCCCTACCCCCTACCCTGGGCCTGGGAGCGGTGGGGGCGCGACCCATTGGACTAAGAGGGCCTCAGGGAGCCCAAGGTGGCCTCCAAGATGGTCCAAGATACTTCCAGATGGCTAAAGATGATATCCGAGATACGTCCAAGAGGCCCCAAGACAGCCCAAAGACGGTTCCAAGTGCCCTTCGAACTGCCCAAGCAAGCCTCCAAAAAGCCAGAATCCTTCAAAAACCTATGAAAATCAACGCTTGTGGATTTCTCAACTTGTTGCCTCCGATAAGCTTGTGGGGCTTCAAGATGGCCCCAAGATGGCCCAAGAGATCCGCACGAGAAGCCCGAAAGGGTCCCAAGACGGCCCCAAGAGCGCCAAAGAACGCTCCAAAAGCGGCCTAAAAGAACCCCAAGACGGCAGTTTGGAGCCTCTGGGGGGGGGCGGGGGGGGGAGGGGTGCCTCAATGTATGACCCCCCCCTCTTTGAGCCATGGGGCCCAAGACGGCCGCAAGAGGCATCCCAAACCCCTCCCCCAAAGGAGCCCCAAGACGCCCCAAGAGAGCCCCAACAGGGCCTCAAGCGGCAAACCCCATTGAAAAACCGGAGGACCTCAATGTATTTGCGTTCTCGCCTTTTCGCTTCAGATGCCTTTCCAAGGCCTCAAGATGTCTCGGACTGCAGCGTATTGCAAGGTCTTTGTAGGTTTTTGGAAGGTCATTGCAAGGTCGTCGCAGGGTCTTTGGAGGGTTGTTGCAGGGGTCTTTGCAGGGTATGTGCAGGGTCTTTGCAGGACCTTTGTAAAGGGGTTCCATTAGGCTGCCAAGAGGCTCGCGGAGCGAAAGCTCCGCGACGGTTTCATAGTTGGCTCGTCATTGTCGTCGTCGCCTTCATCGTCGTCTCCTTCCTTGCCCATCCATCTACTGGTTCATCCTCTTCTTCCTGTCTCCTCCCGTTCTCCTTTCCTCCTTCCTCCCACCGTTGCCAAAGATAGCCTCCCCGCCGCGACAGGACTTCAAACTAACTCCAGGGGGGGGCCAGACGACCACATTGCAGCCGCCGCGCCATGGGAACATTCGCTACATAATTCAACACTGCTCCCGCCGGTTCAGCTCCCCTGAAACACTTTCACGGTGGTCGTTCCGCTGCATGCTTCTACGCTTCCCTGATCAGGCGATATGTTTCTGGATGGGTTGAGGGGATACTTGTGGTCGCGGCCGCAAGCGAAGGCGCAGGCGGCGTCAAGGGTCGTCCTGGGCTACGGGGGAAGCCTAATTATCCAGCGAGTGCACTCACGGCTGCCAAAGTTGCCGCCGATGGACGCTGAGCGGCGCCGGGGGCTGAAGGCAGGCTGCAGGAGCTGCCAGGTGTGCCAGGCGGCCGAAGTGCAGCCATGCCGCAGGCGGGACCACGGGGAAGACGAACGACTTGTACCACGTCGCGCCAGGCGCCAGAGGTAGTCGTGCCACCGAGCGTGGCAAAGCGAGGGGTTGCGCAAGCAGTCCAGCGAACCAGTGTCGCATGCCAACAGTGGCACCTCAGATGGCTGAACAAGAAGGCTAAACCACTCCTGACCAATCCACGTAATGGCGCGCCCCACCATTGCAAGCGGCAGCTGCAAACACGGCCAGGCTGTGGCGGTGAGGACCAGAGGCCAGGAACACGCAAGCATTCTAGCCGGAGCT